CTGTTAGCTCAGACACCCGGAGCGCTGGCGCGAGCCGTGGAGATCTTGCTCGGCGTACCGAGGCCTTCGCCGCCTTCCACTCGGACATCCGCTTGAGCAGGGGCAAGACAGAGGGCGTCGCGGCCCTGAGGGGCTCCCACGCAGCCGCTGCCAAGGAGCAGTGGCGCCAACCAGATGGCTCGCTCGCTGCGCCCGTGCCCAACTCGACGAAGCGTTTGCACATCGCTGACGCCTACAAACATCTTGGGACGTTCTTGTCAGCTGAGTGCATGTCGATCCGCAACGCCGTGCACCGCTCCCAGTCTGCCATGTCGGCCTTTGTGCCGCTGAAGCACAAGGCGTTCGGCTCCTAGATGATCGCGAGCCCGTATCAGTTCGTGTTCATGCGGAGCCTCGTCCGGTCGAGGCTCATCTTCAACCTCCACGTGTGCGTGCTGCACCCGAGGGCGCTGAAGACGCTGAACGGCGTGTACACGAGGGTTCTCAGGAGAATCGCCGACGACCCTCGTTATTCCAAGGACGTCAAGATGACTGACCTCGGGGTGAGGAGGGCCCTGAACATGCCGTCGATGGACTGCGTGCTCCAAATTCGCCCGGCCGGTCCGCAACCGGCCCAAGGCCTTGTTGGTCCTCTTGCTTGCGGGGGCCGACGATCCCGAGCTGCCCTGGCTTGCGCTGGTGCGAGCCGACACCGAGCACGTCCGTGCCCTTGAACTGCTGCCCGGGTTCCCTCCCTTGTACAGTGATAAGGGGAAGTGGCTCCGTCTTTTACAGTCAACGGTCACCTACCAAATGGAGCAATGTGCTGGACCACTTCTTTTTCGTTGAGTCCGTCCTCGACCGCCAGGCGCACGAGGTGCCCGGCGTCCCGTTTGGGCGAGGTCTTAACACAAGTGTGCAGTTTGCCACGCTTGTTTCCCTTCCGAGCGTGCCCTGGCGAGTCACTGCAGGGCCAAACACGGCCACAGACTCGCCATCAAGTCGTACATTGATGGCTCGGGCACTTGCCCATGCTGCGGCACTCATTTTCGGTCGTGGCTTCGGTGCCTAGCGCACCTCTCCGACCGCCGCAGCCCGCGATGCGCCGAATGGGTGCTCGCTCATTGCGCGCCGCTCAAACCGTCCACGCTCGAAAGCCTTGCAGGTAAGGACAGGGAGATGCTGCGAGAGTTGGGGGCAAGGCCGAACGCATGCTATTGCCCGTGGCTCGGCCGTCGCTAAAAGTGGACGCGTCGTCGGCCGTTGTCGGTGATGGTCTCTGCCTCGCGCACGCTTGCCCCGCAGTGAATAGCCGCAATGTGCGATGACGTTTGCTGTGAGATCTGGGTGTCTGTTGTTCCCCTCACCATCTATATATATATATAGAGAGAGAGAGAGAGAGAGAGAAAAAAAAAAAAAGAGAGAACACACACACACACACAAAAAAAAAACGCGCACACATGTCGCGTTCCCTCTCTCTTCCTCTCTCCCTCTCTCCCTTCTCTCGGGAAACTTGATGTGCAGATGCACTGGCGTGAGCTCGCGTTCTGGGCGAAGCGACAAACGGCAACGAAGCTCACTAATCCCTCGAACGCAACCGCCCCTGTAGTGAAAAACTGAACCGGGAACAAGAATACTTGAAGGGGCCCTGGGACACACAAATAAATACACACACGCACACAAATAACAGGATTGTCCATATGTTGCTATATTTTTAGGGTTACTGTCTTCCCCCCCTCCCCATATGTTCCCATCTTTTCCTGGGAATCGACGATTCATTGTGTCTGTGTGTGTTTTTGTTCCCTCCTGAACACTTGCCTGCAATCGCGCAATTCTCCCTCCCTTCCTCCCTCCTCTCTCACTCCTACATCGCCCCCATCTGCCTCCCCCTGCTCTCCTCCCACTCCCCCCTCCCCTGTCCTCCATTCCCTTGCACCCCTCCCCTCGCCCTTCTCCCAGGGACAACACTGGGGACTGGCTCCGGGGTGAAGGGCGAACATCCGCCTGGAATTGGCGACACGTCGCCGACAGATCGGCGACAGGCCCCAGATGGCGAATCCGCACGGTCCTGGGTAGGGTGGGCCATTGGGCCCCTATCAGCGACGGGTGGCGAGTGGGGTTCGATGCACCCTTGCCCGGGCCTCTGCCGCCGCAGCTCGGGGGCGCGCAAATATGGGTTAGCGATCCATGGACTTGGCGCGCGCTCGCCTAATCCATGGATCGGGAGAGGTGCCCTCCCCAAAGTGCGGCGGGTGCCGTCTCGTTCGGCGGCGAAAGCCCGCGATTTCCCATGGAAACGGGACCCGTCACTAATCCACGCCCCCTTACTCCATGTTTGCGATCGCCGGAGCAGCGATGACCCGGAGCCTCAGTCCCCGGCCTATCCTGTGAGGGACGAACAGCGGCATATAAGCATAAACTCTCGTAGGTCCGCGGGCCTGGACCCCCCCCCGGCCTTGTCGCCGCGCGGCGCGGGGCAGAGGGCGGGCGGCGGAGGCGCCGCGAAGCTGCAGCCCACCCGCATTAGAAGGACGCGCGGTAAGGATGCAAGGGCCCTGGAGGAGGAGGAGGAGGAGGAGGAGGAGGAGGAGGAGGAGGAGGAGAATGGGGAGGAGGAGGAGGAGGAGGTGGAGGTGGAGGAGGAGGAGGGGGAGGGGAAGGCCATGTCGACACTCTGCAAGCGGGGCGCGGCCAGCGAAAGCGGCCAAGGATGGGCCGAAGGGGAAGGGTGCAGAGGTGCCCTTGGACAGGTTGCCCATCCTCGCTGTGCAAGTTGACTGCCACAGCGTCTATGCTCACGGAGGTCTTTGTCCCTCGATCTACCGCACTCTCGGCGGCGAGCGCGGGGGAGCAGTGAGCAGGAGAAGGCCTTCTTTCGGGGGCGCGCAAACATGGGTTAGCGATCCACGGACTTGGCGCGCGCTCGCCAAATCCATGGATCGGGGGAGGTGCCCTCCTCAAAATGCGGCCGGTGCCGTCTCGTTCGGCGGCTGAATCCGCGGTTTCCGATGGAAGCGGGACCCGTCGCTAATCCACGCCCCCTTGATCCATGTTTACGATCGCCTGATTCTCAGAGGGCGGCGGGGCTTCTCAGCAGCCCTCGCGCCTTCGGAGAAGTTTTGCGATGTCTTCGGGGACGGCTTAGGATTAGGTCGGGCGTGTCCTCCTGAAGGCAGATTCTGGACGAAATAAAAAAGTAGTCAAAACAAATTATGCTAACGGATTTCCCCACATAAAGATGTTAACGATTTCGTGGGACCTATGGGGCACGACAACATGAACACGAAGGAGAAGCTGATCGAACGAGTAAGTACGCACGAAAGGGCAGACGAAAGAAGGGAGGAGGGAGGACAGGTGCTCAGGAAACGAAGCCTTGTAAATAATACGGTTTCTTGATACTCTTCTCCCTCTGGCGGGGCCCCAGTGGAAGGGGGAGGGCTACGAAACCTGGTGAAAAGTAATGCTTTCCGCGACCCTCCTCATTCAAGCGCGACCTCTCTGGAGGAGTGGAGGGGGGGCACGAAACCGTGTAAAATATTGTTTTCCGATACCCTCCTGGAGGAGGAGGAGGAGGAGGAGGAGAAGGGGCCTCCCTGGAGGGGTTGGAGGGGCACGAAACCATGTAAATAGTATGGTTTTCCAATACCCTCCTCGCTCAGGCGGGGCCTCCCTGGAGAGGTGGGAGGGGCACGACACGATGTAAATAGTATGGTTGTCCGATACCCTCCTCGCTCAGGCGGGGCCTCCCTGGAGGGGTGGGAGGGGCACGAAACCATGTAAATAGTATGGTTTTCCAATACCCTCCTCGCTCAGGCGGGGCCTCCCTGGAGGGATGGGAGGGGCACGAAACGTTGTAAGTAGTATGGTTTTCCGATACCCTCCTCGCTCAGGCGGGGCCTCCCTGGAGGGGTGGGAGGGGCACGAAAACACGTACATAGTATGGTTGTCCGATACCCTCCTCGCTCAGGCGGGGCCTCCTTGGAGGAGTGGGAGGGGCACGAAACCATGCAAATAGTATGGTTGTCCGATACCCTCCTCGCTCAGGCGGGGCCTCCCTGGAGGGGTGGGAGGGGCACGAAACCATGTAAATAGTATGGTTTTCCAATACCCTCCTCGCTCAGGCGGGGCCTCCCTGGGGGGGTGGGAAGGAGGAAGGCGGGAAGGAGAAGGAGAGGATGTTCTGGGAAAACAAGAACCCCACTCAGGATGTGGGGAATAATCAAAAAGTGCGCAAGAATGATCAAAGCATTGCCCCCTGACTTGATTTAAAACTATGTTTGAATCTTCCTCCTGTAGAAGGAGATGCCCGACTTAAGCTCAGGAGACTTCTCAGACGGCCTGTGGACTTCCGAGCCTTCTGAGAAGGCCCGCCCCTTCTCACTTCTCCCCGGGCTCGCCGCCGACACTCCCTGTTCTAGAGGCCTCCTAGATGGGGTCGGAGACTCGCACCGTACCCTCCCGCAACCCTGTTTCTCCCCTTAGCATGAAGGAAACGGGTCCTGAGGGAAGCGCCCCCAGAACCAGTTCTTCATCCTGGGTCGTTTTCTGACGGTCCCGAGGGCCCCGGGAGGCCAAACACGGCGAAAAAACTCAAGACCCCTTTCCTTCATGGCGATCCTCAGCCTCCCCTCTCCGGGCAGGCTGGCGACGCGAGCCGCGGTCCGGAGACAAGCCCGCTCCACTACTCGCAAAAAATAACTGCTCGCAAATGGCCTGGATCCGCCGCGGGCCGACCCATTACAAGAGGCCTTCCAGATGGAATCCGAGCAGATGGGGTCGGAGGATCGGGCCGCATCCGGGGTGCATCGGCGGCACTGGCGATGCATCGACGATGTCGGCGTGGATATAATCGGGCTCTACATCGAGCCGCTTCGCCGATGCGTCGGCGATGCGGTTCGATCCTCCGACCCCGTCAGCTCGGACCCCATCTGGGAGGCCTAGAGTTAAGCCGAGGCAGAGATGTGTGTACTGAACATTTGCGAGCAGGCACTCTGCGAGTAGCCGAACATGCTCGGCGAGTC